TCATTTCTCCATGAAAAGGATATTTATTAAATTATTTTGTAGTGTTTCTGCTATTGTAAAATTTTTATATAATTACATTTTCTGTTTTTTCCCCTTAACTGTACTAGTTTACTTTATCCAGCAACCTTATTAAACTCCCTTATTAATGGTGATTCTTTGGTCTGTGGTCTGTAGGTTATTTCTTTTTTTTTCTTTTTGTTTTGGAGACAGAGTCTCACTCTGTTGCCCAGGCTAGAGTGCCATGGCGTCAGCTTAGCTTACAGCAACCTCAAACTCCTAGGCTTGAGTGATCCTCCAAGCCTCAGCCTCCCAAGTGGTTGGAATTAATTTTTCTGTTTTTAGTAGAGATGGGGTCTTGCTTTTTGCTCAGGCTGGTCTTGAACTTCTGAGCTCAAGTGATCCTCCTGCTTCAGCCTCCCAGAGTAATAGGATTACAGGTATGAGCCACCACAACCAGCCTGGTTATTTCTTGATTTTCTATAAATGATGATAGTTCTATTTCTTCCTTTCTAATCTATATGCTTTTTCGTTAATTTTTTCATTGGCTATGACTCCTAGCACGTGGTTAAATTGGGATATTATTGGTGTACATTCGTGTCTTTTTTCTAATCTTAAAGAGAATATTTTTTATACCATTAAATAAGATCTTTTTTGTAGGTTTTTTGACATCTCCTTTTCCTTATCTTTCCACTTGTAGAATCTCACATTTTGTTCTGAGGAGAAGAAATGAACAGGAAAATAAATACTTTTATTTCTAGAGCCCATCCCCATGCTTGCTGCATTATGGCATTATCAATTTGTTGTCTGAATGAATGAATGTAGTAGGACGACTTGAGCTTTATGGTTTTTGTTGGTCTCTCTTTTATGTGGTATAGCAGTTCAAAAATGCTTAAATCTTTATTTTAGAGAAGGAGTCAAAGTTACTAATGTGTGTATCACACTGCTAATGCTTCAGGAGAGGATGTTGAATTTTACTGTTTAAATACAAATATTTGGAGACAGATCATATTTTTTCTGTTTCTCATGGCAGTAATGCTTATAATATTATGAACTAAAGATCAGCTTAATCTCTGAAGCTGGATTTTAGGCTAAGTTTCCTGAGAGAGATATATTCTAAGAACTTTATTTTTATCTATTCATATTTTTGTGAGCACCATTTTAACCTAGATTAGGTTTGTAAATTTAGTACTGTAATGGTACTGCAGATTCTGATCAAAGCCTGAACATGAGCAATTAATATGATACTAATAACAAATGACTTTGTGAAGTCTCCTCTATAATTCAGATTAGACCCCTTCTACTTTTCTGCCTTTCCCTGTACCTGGTTTTTTTTCTTTTTAACAGATGGGGAAATTAAGGCAGAAAGGTAGAGATTCCCTGAATTTGGTGTATTGCTTACTGCAGTAGACCACTTTGCTTCTGTGAGAATTGTAAACTACTATACTTTACAGGTATGTGCTGAAATCCTCATTGCTGAAACCTGCAAGTCTTGCTAATAAAGAAAACTCTTACGTAGACATTTTATATGTTTAGCTATATTTAGAATATCTATAGCTTGGCTAAAATTTTACTACAGAATTTGTAGAGAAGAGAGAAGTACAGAAATTTTGCTAGATGATTTTTTTTTTAAATAAAAGCAGCTGTCCATTTTTTCCATCATCTTTTTTGTTCCTTTGATAGCTCATTCCTTCCTACCCAGTGTTGACCATTAACCATTGGTTTTAGATCCTTGTTTCTCAACTGGGGGTGATTTTGCCCCGCCCAGGGGAATTTGGCAATATCTGGAGACATTTTTTTTGATTGTCATAACTTGAGGGAATACTGTTGCTATCTAGTGTGTAAAGGCCAGGGATGCTGCTAGCCATCCTACAATGCACAGGACAGTCTTCCACAATCAAGAATTAGGTGGCCCCAAAATGTCAGTAGTGCTGTGGTTAAAAAATCCCTGTTTTAGGTAATGGTGTTTAGTTTCGTTTTTGAACTGGAAAGAGAACTTCAGTGCCCATTTGGTGTGAGGTAGTATAGTTTCTTATAAAGAACATGGGCTTTAAAGTTGCATAGACCTGGTTTTCAAACCTTATCTCAGTCCATGCTGGTTATGAGTACCAACATTTAGGTGTGTGGAAAAAAAGTAAAGAAAAGAAATAACAGATATAACACATTGTAAAGTGCTGATAAGTATTGTTTGCTTCCTCCCCTCCCATCTGAACTTCATATGCCAATGACTCAGTTTATGTTGTTTATCCTCTGACACCTTAGGCAAGTTTTTAGTTTTTGGTTTTTAGTTTTTCCATCTGTAAAATAAGAATAGTAGTCCTTACAGATTTTAGGAAAGATTTCATCAGAAAATGCAAGTAAAGCACATACTCCTATGATTGGAATATAACAGGTACTTAGTAAATATTTGTTTTCATTTATTAATAATAACTTTATGTTCAGATTGTAATTATTTGGACTTGCTATCAGAAGTGATGTATAAAACTAGGCAAGATTGTCTGTCAACTGACAAATGTGGTCTCGCCATACAGTGGAATATTATTTGACCATAAAAAGGAATGAATGCATACTACAACATGGATAAACCTTGAAAACATTATGCTAAGTGAAAGAAGCCAGTCCAAAAATATCACATGCTATATAATTCCATTTATATGAAATGTTCAGAACAGACAAATCTATAGAACCAGAAGGTAGCATAGTGGTTGTCAAGGGCTGGGGAGGATGGATAGGGTAGGGGAGTAATAGTTAAAGGGGTTTGTTTTTGAGGGGCTACATATGTCCTAAAATTGGCTATGGTGATGGTTTTATAACTATATATACTAAAAACCACTGAATTGTACAGTTTAAATGGGTGATTTTATGGTATGTGAATCATATATAAATAAAGCTGATAGTGTAAGCAAGATGAGGGCTCTCTGTCCTTTCTCTGGTGTTGAGTATTTTATTTCTTAATCTGTACCTTGTGCTTCATCTTCTGATTTCCATGGATTTCACTTAGAGGATGTATTCTCCCTTCATGTTATCTCCACAGTAATATTGCTGGTTATTACTTACCATGAATGCAGCGTGGTGATAGCTGCCTCTGTATACACATCGAAGATTTTTCCAGTTTGGAAAAATTCTCATTCTGGCCTATATAGTTTCTATGAGTTAACACCAAACAACTCACAGACTTGAACATATTCTATATTTCTCACACATGGGCATGTGTGTAGAGAATTGGTCATTACATTTGTAACTGAGTTCCAATATGTTTTATTTTTATAAATGGATAGCAAGTTAGAAAGCTAATTTTCCTTATTGAACATTAGTTAGCTAACTGTAGCCAATGGCCTAGAGTTAGGAACCCATTAAGTAAATAGGGACATTATAGTTATGAGACCGTTAATAATAAAAACATGCTAGAATTCAAACTACTATAATAACAAATACTTAAATGGAAGGTATGTTTTCAAGCACATGATATTTTGCTTATATCTTTTGATTGCAGGGGTCAGAATACCTCACCCAAACAGGCTCTAGGGAATTTATTGCTCACGTTACTATAGCCTGCATATGAGAGGTGTCTTCAGATGTATCAGCATGCAGAGTTTCAAATATTTACTGTATGTCCCCGCTTCCTTTCTTTTAGCCAGGCTCTCTGCTCTTTTCTATTAGTTGGCTTCTTAGGCAGGCTGTCCCTTATGGTTGTAAGATGGCTATAGCAGCTCCAGGCTTTCATCTCTACTTAAGGCTAGCAGATACAGAGAAATTTCCTCTCTCAACAATAGGACACTCCTGGCCTGATTCATACTACCCTGTGCTGGGCCATGTACTTGTTCCAGAACTAATTTCAATACCCAGAAGAATGGATGTGCTGATTGACATTGGCCAGTTAACTGCATCCCTAAGCTTGAGGATGGGGTCAACATTACCCAAAACCCTATGAGAATCTGGAATGAAGTGATTTAGCAGAAGAATTTCGGGTTGCTTTTCTTGTTAGCCAGGAGGTTAAATTGGATTTTGGATGGCTAGTTTATATCTACTATAATGTCCAGAAATATACTAGAACTTTTATCCTGAGAATAATAGCTAAAAATTTTATTGAGTACTTACTGTTTGTACCAGGAAGAATAAGTAAAAAAAAAAACTTTGGGCAAAAACTAGGATTATGGATTGTTTTGAGAGTTGTTTTCCTAAGAAAACTTATTATATGGCATTTTCTAAGTTTTTAAAAATTTGGTGTGATTTTCTTTTCCCTAATTTTAGCTTCCTGTTATATTTAAGTACCATATGTGGTCTTCCCCAGCTTTTTGAATCTAGTACTTTTCTCTTTTGTCTTTCTATATTGCTACTACATAACATCATTTTACTTTTTTAATTTATGCCTTTTAACTCAGTACACACAAATCTAAAATCTTAGGTTTCCAGTTTGGTAAAACAAGTTAGTATCCCAGTTAAATTCAACTCACTTAAATAATACAGATACAAATAGCTTGACCAGGATGACTATTCTCTTATATGTTCATCATTGAACATACAGCTCAATCAGACTGAACTCTTGTAGAGATCAGTTAATGGTATATCTGATTACTGTCTGTGTTTACAATTGACCAATTTCTCTTTGCTCTTGGAGGAAAAAAAAGCAAATATTTCTTTGCAAGAGTGGTTTTATGGCATGTATATTTAGTATGCTATAATTGTAAATAAGACCAGTTTCTAATGTTGGATTGGATGTAGACAGTTTGAGATTAGAGAGTTTTAAATATTTTTAAGCAGTGATGTGGTTGTAAAGTAGTTGCCATTATCAGACTTATAAATGAAGAATGATCATTCCTTTTTTTTTTTGTTCCTAGCTCCATTAAAAATCAGAACCTTCTGATTTTGTAGAAAAAAGTATAATAATATAAATAAATATAAGTATAAACTATAAAATAATATAAATAAGAAATAAAAAGAAAAACATGGTGTCAGAACAATGATAGTTACTGTCTGTTTCTCACTGTCTTTTTTCCCCACAGTGATCCTGGTGGAGGGATTGAAATGTCTGAGTTCATTCGAGAGGCCACACCTCCAGTTGGTTGCAGTTCAAGAAATTCTTATGCGGGTTTAGATCCAAGCAACCAGGTAGGATCCTGAGCTCTTCTATTTTGCCTTTCCCCCTTCCTTCTGATGGTGGTCTCTGTTATTCTTATGTCTGTAATAGTGGTTACAAACATAAGAATAAATGTGCTGTCCTGTCCCTCCTGCAGGTACAGCGGATGAGAGCTTAATCTTCTGTTGTTTCTTATGCAAATAATCATAATGCTTAGATATTTTAGGGGGAAGCTTAAATAATACAGAAATGCATGAAGCGTAAAATTTAATCACTCCATTGTAGCCATTAAGAATGATTTTTTTTGAGACACAGTCTTGCTGTGTTGGCTGGGCTAGAGTGCTGTGGCATCAGCAACCTCAAACTCCTGGGCTCAAGTGATCCTTGTGCCTTAGCCTCCTGAGTAGCTAGTCCTACAGGTGCATGCCATGACACCCAGCTAATTTTTCTATGTTTAGTAGAGATGGCGTCTGACTCTTGCTCAGGCTGGTCTCGAACTCCTGAGTTAAGTGATCCTCCCACTTTGGCCTCCCAGAGTGCTAGGGTTACAGGCATGAGCCACCATGCCCAGCCAAGCATGCTGTTATCATCAAGGAATGGAATACTCAACTAATAGTTACTTAAAGAGCTAGAAGTTTGTCGCCTAAATCTGGAAGTGATTGTTCAGCAGCTCGGTAACGTTGGGTTCTGGTTTGGTGCTTTTACAATTCTCTAGGCTTTTCCCTCAAGGTTACAGGAAGAGTACAGCAGCTTCAGTCATGACTGTTGAAAAGTTAGGAGGCAGGCAGTGGTGTGGGGAGAGAGATTTTCCTTGGGTCACCTTCTTCGCAGACATGAAAAGATCTTTTACTGGAGCCATCCAGCATACTCTCCCATACATTCATTGACTGTAAGTAGGTCATATACCTACCTCTAGACAGGACACTGGGCCTACTTCTCATAGACCGAAAGATATATGACCAACGTCTGAACATAATAAGGAGCTTGTTAAGGAAGGAGAAAGAGAATACTTTGAGGTTGAGGTTGAGCAAATGACTACTACTATGCCCATATTCAAAAAGTTTTTTTTTTTTTTTTTAAGGTTTAAATTCTTAGAAAGATGTGCGTAAAATGGCATTTTTGTTTACACGTTTGTTTTTAAATTTCTATCCAGGAAATTATGTGTTTATAATTCTAGTAGAAAAATAACATGTGTTAGTTCTATAACTTGTGTAGCAGGTGTGGTAAGAATAAAACTGTCTTTTTCAGTAAAATGCTTTTTGGCCTTTTTCATTCTGGCTAATTGCAGTGCCTTTTATAGCTCATTAAAAGCAAAAATTAGGAAAAACTGGGAGAATCAAGTTTAATAAATAGTTAAAATATATTACAAAGCTTATTTTTATTGGCTACAGCAAGAGTTTATTGGTAGTTTCAATCCATATCTGTGTGCTTTTTTTTATTTATTTTTTTCACTAGCATATAACTTACACAGCACTGTACGTATCTTAAGTGTGTAGTTCAGGGAATTTTTACATCTGTGTACGTCCATTCAGTTGCCATCCAGATCAAGAACGTCCCTTATGCCCCTTCCAAGTCAACCTTAGCCTATGTTTTGAGCTTATGTCTTGTGGTATACTCCTATTTAAATTGAATCAATGAAAAGGAAGACTTGGTAAAATTTTTTTTTTTTTTTTTGAGACAGAGTCTCACTTTGTTGTCCAGGCTAGAGTGAGTGCCGTGGCGTCAGCCTAGCTCACAGCAACCTCAAACTCCTGGGCTCGAGTGATCCTTCTGCCTCAGCCTCCCGAGTAGCTGGGACTACAGGCATGCGCCACTATGCCCGGCTAATTTTTTTTTTATATATATATCAGTTGGCCAATTAATTTCTTTCTGTTTATAGTAGAGACGGGGTCTTGCTCAGGCTGGTTTTGAACTCCTGACCTTGAGCAATCCGCCCGCCTCGGCCTCCCAAGAGCTAGGATTACAGGCGTGAGCCACAGCGCCCGGCCTTGGTAAAATATTAAGTATTATATTGATAGTCTTAATTTTACTTTACAAGGGTAAATTTGCTTGACTGGGTTCTTTGAATCCTATGATAACAGATTATAGGAGGAGTTGCTAAAACTTGTTGATTTAGTAACTGTCATGTTATGTTTGGTTTCCCTAATTTATTTCTGGAATTTGCAGTATTTATGTGATTTTTATGGTAGTATTAATAAATAATGGCTTTGGAATTTTAGGGAAGTGTTATACCATCTTGAATATAAGCACAAAAAGCTCAGCAATCAGATTTTAGTTTTCTATCTAGTTTGTGCTAAAAATTCGTATTTTTGTGGGTGCTTTAGATTTTTAGTCTTTTAAAATGTTCTGTCTACTAAGAAGTATTTACTTTTTGTCTGGAACTAAGGAAAGTACATAATGATACACTAACAGTCTAACAGTAAGACTTATATTGCTCTTTGTAGCATATGCTAATATGTTTTGTCCCCCAAAGTTTCCCTTTATGTACCCTGAGAAGTCTAAATTTATTTCAGTTAGACATAACACCTGGGGTTGCTGTTGTTTGTAACATGAGCATGTCATAGTGCAATGTAAAAAATCATAATAATTGTATGACATGAGTTGCTTGAGGTCAGAGGCATCTGCCCCTTGGGGCTCCCTCATTCCTGAGCATGCAGGATTCAGTGTCTCAGCACATCTGTAAGATACATGTAGCATGTGCCACAGCAAACAGGTTGTATGGCTCTAATAGAACAGGGCCAGAGTGTCTGTTAATATTGATAAAAGTGACTGATAACATGTTTGATATAATTTTGATGACATACTTAGCCTTTTAATTCATTTTATTTACTCATGTCCTGTTTTCAGATTGGATCTGGTTCCTCTCGTCTTGGAACAGCAGCAACTATTAAAGGTAGACATAATCTAATTTAAAAGTTGCCTCTGGCTTTCCATTTCATTTTTGGTTGTAATAAAGATAAGTACTTTACATTTAAATGTAATGAAAAATTATTCTTGAAATTATTTTATAGATAAGATTATATATCTTATTAACAGTTGTTTGATTTAAATTTTATTTCTCTTTCATCATCCAAATTTCACAAAAGCATTTTACCATTTGTGTTACTTTCCATGAATTATAAGTTTCAATCTATAAGAAATTTCCTTGCCTTGAGGGAAAATAATTTCATGAATTTTGGGTAGGGTTCATGATAATTAAGTACTTCGATGTGAAACCTTTAAATGTGGGCATAGATGAGACACACAAAAAAAGGGAAAGTTATTTTCTGTCATTTGTTCTATACATCTGAAGTAGATGTATGTAACAAATAATAAATATGTAATAAAATAAATAAATTCTTCTTATTTTTACCCCGTAATTTTTTAGCTTGCTAATTTTCCCTGGTAGGGAAATTTACATTGTTTCCAGCCATTACATAATTTTCATTTTTTAAAAATATACTTATTTTTAAAGAAACAGTTTTGTTAGCTATATTATGCAGCTTTCCATACTATGTGGGTTGTAGTTCTGTGACAATAATTATGTTCTCTGATAGTCCATGATACTTCTTAATGTGCTTCTAATTACAGTGCTTCTGTTACTGTAATCCTTGATATACAGATTGCTTTAGTTGATATTTACCATATGCCTTGATGTCCTTCCTTGGTTATGCCACACTACAGCCTTTACTTTTAGTATAGGGCCCTCACGTGTTTCTCTTAACTTTGTAGGAGATACAGACACTGCTAAGACTTCTGATGATATCAGTTTAAGTCTGGGCCAGAGCTCTAGTCTTTGTAAGGAAGGAAGTGAAGAACAAGGTAAGAACATTATATATAACAGTGACATTGTATATTATGGTGACCTGAGTGAATTTGTGGAATATACTGCTCACAATTTGGCAGAAGTTGATAATAATTTATTATGGTATTTTTAGGAAATGTTAATATAAAATGTTACTGTAATAATAGTAATAAAGCATTATAAGTGCTTTTAGCTTATTGGAGTTCACTTATACATATTCTGCCAAATAAACATGGTGCCTTCCTATATTAGATTGTTAATAGAAATTTTGGCTATATGTGAATTTTTTTTTCTTCTTATTCAGCTCCATTGAAAATGAATATTTTTGGTTTTTTTTTAGTTTTTTAAACTACCACATTTTCGTGTTTGATTTTTAATTTTGAAATATACAAGGACAAATATGTCAACCCTGTTTTCAAATGGAATTGTCCAAGGTTATATAATCAATGAGGCATAAGTGGATTAGAAATCTGTCTTCTGTTTCTACCCGATTATGACCTTTTTATTTTTATTTTTATTAACTTATGGGTGATATTTGGGCAGAGAGGCTGATAAATTTCCTCTTTTTAATTATGAAACTTGTTTATGAGGCTACAAATACATCACTAAATTGTGACATTTGTTCATTAATTTAATATTTTACCCAGGTTTCTTTCTCTTTTCCTTTCTTTACTCAACAATCCATTCCAAATGAACCAGGTACATTTCTTACAAGCATATTTTGTTACTGTTATTTGGAATTTTAAGTTTTTAACTCTGGTTTTTTTAAATTATAGTACCCCATCATTGTTTATTTGCTTTTATGGACTACCCCTTCCAACCCTACCAACCCCCCAAACTGAAAAGACCTCTAAACATACAGTATGCAGCATGGCATAGATAATTTTTAAGAATGAAAGGTGAATCAATTTGAGAATTACAGCATCATTTTCTATAATATATGTGACCATTTGTGTATCTTAACAACTAGATAATAACCTTAGAGGGATTGGTGCCACTGCATTTAGGGGGTCATATGTGTCTTTATCTTATTTTATATCTGGAAAGTACCATGGGTGAGCAAGATTTTTATAGTTTAGCAGGTTGGGAATTATATACATACAAATCTACCTTTGCAGCTATGCAGTAACATAGATCATGATATCTGACATTCACAGACTGCATAGTGTTGTCCAAGTTCAGGGTCAGTATACTTTTTCTGTGAAGGGCCGCATAGCTTTGTAAGCCATATGGTCTCTCTTGCTACTCAACTCTGCCTTTGTAGAGTGAAAGGAGCCATAAAAACACCTAAATGAGTGGGATGGCTGTGCTACACTAAAGCTTCATTTACAAAAACAAATGGAGGACAGGATTTGGCTCCATGGGTCTTCATTTGTAACTCTTGGTTGAAGTTCTCTTCTAAGCACTTCATATGCATTCACCCAGTTAATATTCACTATAAGCATTTGAAGTTGATACTGTTACTATTCTCACTTTTATAGATGAGCATATTATGTTTCAAGAGAGCAGCTATAAGAAACTTGCCCAAAGTCACACAATTCGAGTGTCAGTTCTGTAATCCAGATCTAGTTTGAATTATAGGACTGTACTATATTCCTTTGTATACCTATAGAAATAAACATATATTACACTCCTTTCATATAGTTTTATAATTTTCCTTTATTAGGTAACATTTTTCCATGTTTTTAACATTGAACAAATATTGAATGTTCATTATGTTTATGGTACTGTTTTAAGTACTGGAAAAAAATCAAACACAAAAATTTCTACCCTCTTGTGGCTTCCATACTATGAGTATGGAATTATACTAGTGTAAGTCTATATATGTGGTAAATAGAGACAGAGGACAGGGAGTGGTGGGGGCTGGGGAAATTGTAATTTTGCACAGAGTGAGAACAAAGAGCTGAAGCAGGAGGGATGAGCTGTCAGGATATCTGGGGAGGAAGGGACTCCCTCCATGCAGAGGGAACAACAAGGGCAAAAGCCCTAAAGTGGGAACATGCCCTCAGGTTTGGGAAATAATGTGGCTGGTGTGGAGTGAGGATCCAAACTGTATAGAGTCTTATAAGTCATTTTAAAGGTGTTAGTTTTAATTTTGAGTGAGATGGTTTGTGTTACATTTTAACAAAATCACTCTAGCTTCTGTGTTGAGAAATATATTAAAAGGGGCAAAAGATGAGGCAGGGAACTCAGCAGATTATTGCAGTAATCTAGGAGAGAGAGAGAGAGAAAGAGAGTCTGTGTGTATGTGTATGCGTGGAAGATATTGACGGATTTGGATATGTTATATGAAAGAAATAGTAGTCATGGATGACTCTAAGGCTTTGGGGTTAAGTGGCTGGGGGGATAAAGTGCTCATTAACTGGAAGGGGGAAGACTGAGGAGGAGCAGATTCAGGGAGGTAAGAGAGGGAGTTCAGTTTGGGACATATCTGTTATGAGTGGCTATTAGACCTGTAAGTGGGATGAGTAGATAGGTCTAGATTTCAGGTGAGAGGTAAGGGTTGGAGTTTTAAATTTAGGAATTGTCAGTGCATAAATACCAAAAAATAAAAAATCAAATCATGTCAAATATGACATGGGTTTGGGTTATTATAAAGTTCATAAACTAACAGGGCAAGCCTGCTTGGGGTTTATGTTGCCTGGCTTCCTAGTCCAAATCCTTCTTCCTGGCTATGGTTTGGCACCACCTAGTGGTAGGTGTTCGTTCTGGCTTAAATACCATTTGAGACTGGTTTGCTGGCTGGTTTGGATTTATAGGACAGTGACCTTTAGGTGGTTAGCAGTTAGTTGATTAATTGGCACTCATTTTGTCATATGATTCAGGATGATTGGAAGAAAACTGAGGATGTATGTGTGGGGATATTCTCTATTATTTCACTTCTAAGAAGGGGTAATCTATAATTTCCCTGTCTAGCGTCACTCATGTCTTCTCTATCCAAGATTAGAACTTTAGACCATCCCCATAAGAGTGCAGGGCTGGGTAGAAGATGGAGGAACTACTAGTTACAGGTATTTCTGAATTTTAGTTTATCGTGGGGACAGAAAACTGGATGAGATCTATAAAGAGGAAATGTAGATAGAAAAATGAAAAGCCTTAAGGACTGAACACTGAGTCCCTCCAGTTTAAGAAGTCCAAGAGACTGAGTAGGAATAACTGATGAGATAGAAGGAAAGCCAAGATTGTTATATCCCTGTGTTTCAAGGAGAGTGGATTGATCAGCTTTGTCAAATGCTGCTAATAGGTCAAGGGACATGAGGATGGAGACTTGACCATTGGATTTAATAATGTAGAGGGAACTGGTGACCTTGATAAGCATAGTCTTAATGGAGTGGGATTGGAATTTGCTTAAGAGGGAAGTGGAGAGGAAGAATCGAAGACAGTGAATATAAACTATTTTAGTGAATTTTTGTAAAAGGGGCAGAGACCTAATGTAGTAACTAGCAGGGGTATTAAGGATAAGGGAGGGATTTGAATTTTTATAAGATGTTGTAGAGGAAATAATAGCATGTTTGTGTAATTGATGGGGATGATCCAGAAGAGAGGAGGGAAATAATGATTTTTGTTTATGAAAGTAATGTATGTTAACTTTAAACACATAGTTTGAGTATGAAGAAAAAATAATTTGTACTTCTATCACTGAGAAGCTGTTGTTAATTTTTTTGGTGTTTCACTTTTTTAATATTTTTTTAATTGCAGTATAATTCGGGGTTTTTTAATCCATTCACAAGGTTATATACCCAACACCACTATTTAATTCCAGAACATTTTCATCACTCCCAAATGAAACTTGAACCCATTACAAATCCCCATTTCCTCCTTCAACCAGCCCCTGATAACTACTAGTTTACTTGTTATCTCTATGCATTTGCCTATTGTGAACATTTCATATAAATGGAATTATATAGTATGTGGTTTTTAATGTCTGGCTTCTTTTACTTACCATATTATAGCATGTGTTAGGACTTTATATTTTTATGGCTGGCTATAGTAAATCACTTTTAACATTTGTACAAACATATGCATTCTTTTTTTTGTCCCTCAAATATGATTTATTCAGCAATCATAATAGGAAATACAGAGAATTACAGCATATTTAAAGCACAGGAATTGTAGGTATCATGTTAAAAATTAAATAAAAGAGTCTCTGGTTAAATGGAAAGGCAAATGAACTTGCAAGATATACATGTTGAGTAGTTGAGGATAAAAGTACAAAATGAGACATGGGAAGTGCAGCAGCCTAACCCATCAGTCTCTCTTTTCAGAATGTGCTCAACAAGTTCACAACAGGGATGGACACAGATAACCTCAACTCTGACTTCCTATTAATTAGTGCTGAGTAGTTCCTTTCTTAGTTCCTAAGTAGTTCATTTTCTTAGAAAGAAAAGAAAGGAATATGAAAGATTAAAAGAAATAAGGAGGGAAGTAGGGAGTGTAGTGTGGAGAGAGAGGAGAGAGAGATGAGGAAAGTAAGTAGTACATCAAGCAGTATGACAACTTTTCTGAAAGTGAAATATCTTTTCTCCATTCCCTATGGAAGTTTGGTCACAGTGCTTTGTAAGTCATGTAACTTGGAAAATTAGTTTAAAGCCCATGTACAGAAATTATGAGTTCTTTGCATTCCCCTACTTTTTAAAATAACAAAGTCTATAGATCTTAGAGTATTAATAGGAACAAAGTGGCTGTGTTTCCTGTGACATTTGAGAAGCAGTGTTTTAATTTACTTCTCCTTGGAGAGATTCTGTAGCTTTACTGAAAGACAGCTGACTTAAATAGGAACAATGGTAATTAGATTTCCCAGATATATTCTATTTTAAATGCAGAATATTTTCTAGCTGGTAAATAGCTCATTTTCCAAATGAGCTATTTAAAAATCATGCACAAAGAAACAGTAGTTACAGTTTCTTTGTAAATGGAAATGAAAGTCCACTTTTAAAGGACCAGAAGTCACCATGATTTATGTATCATGTTTTCCCCCAGCACATTATTGTAGATCAATCTTTACTACTTAAAATATCAATTGCATTGTAATGTCTTTGATAAAATTCAGTTATTTAGCTGTGTTCTGCACAAGATTCAGGTAACACTAAAGCTAATGACCTTATTCACAGAACGTTTTTTATTTTATTTTATTTTTTGAGAGGAGGTCTCTGTTGTCTGGGATAGAGTGCAGTGGCATGATCATAGCTTACTGCAGCCTCGGACTCCTGGGCTCAAGTGATCTCCTGTGTCAGCCTCCCTAAATAGCTGGTACTATAAGTGCACCTGGCTAATTCATGCAACATTTAAAAGAGTCTACACATAAATACATCTTAAATTACAATCATGCATACTAAATACGCATATAGAATATGGCTTACACATCAAAAGAGACCTAAGTTGTGAGCTACAAAATCTCACTACTTGGGCTTAACAGTTTCTGATTGTATCCATTTCTAAAATATTGCTTCTCATCGTGGAACCCAGGAAGGAAACAAATGCAGTAGAAAACTAGTTAGGATGGATGGATGGATGGATGGATGGATGGATGGATGGATGGATGGATGGATGGATGGATCCTCCTTCATGTCATTTAATTGAAGACTGCTCTTCTTGATTCTTTTCACAAAGACAAATTCACTGAAGCTCACAAACATTGAAATGTTTGTATAATAAAAACTTATAGTACCCAATTGTGCTTGACCTTTCTTGTCAGCTAATAACAAATAAAAGTAGTTCTTCAGTTTGGTGCGAAGAAAAGGCTTTGCACCTGCCCAGTCAAAACATGACAAGAAGCAGGGCCTTTGAAGGTTGCAGTTTGTTTCTGTGTAGTAAAATTTAAAAGTTACATCACATAATGGTATCTGTACAGAAAAGGGTGGGCTTCCATTTTCATAGACATTTTTCAACTCACACGCACACACTTCTTGTCTCTTATCCCTTGGCTTGTAATACATTTTGTTACATCTTGATGGGATGAACACCCCAGAAGGGAAATTCCAGATTCCATTCTAGTGTCTGTCTACACCGATGGCTGACAGTCTGTTTTCATGGACTGTAGGTACTATGTGCCCTGCATTGTGAGCACACACATGGAGGTGATACATGAGTGCCTTGACACCACAGGAAGGGTGCAGGTTCATCCACTGGGTTCAGAGAAAGGTTTCACTGCCATCTCCCAGGATGAGAGTTACAGTGAGGTATTCATCAGGTCACTACCCCGGCACTATGATGCTCCATTGTAGCCAAAGGCCTTCAGCTTCGGCTTCTGAGCAGTCCCACCTTTCACTGTTGTCATGCGTTTGAAGTAAAGAAGGACAATCTAAGTAGCCTGTTCCCCCGCACTGCAAAAAAATATTTTTCCCATAATTTTGTGTTTGCTTTCCTTTTATTTAAGACCTTGAAATATTGGAAGTTATAACACTTTGTATACGTGCAAGAAAGTAAATTTAAAAAGGCTTCATCTTCTGCACATGAATTATACCGTCACTATGACTGGCTCAAAGTGAGGAAAATTTAAAATTATCTGACTTTTAAAAATTTATCTGGCTTAATTGAAGAAGGCCAAGTTGCGGAGGAAAAACAATGGCAGCAGCACTGGCTAAAAACAGCAGCATGAATGTATATATTTGGCCAGAATTACTAGCTTAAAATTTATGTTCTTAATTCCTTGTATGGAAGTTCATAAAAATGACTTGGTCCAATTATATGTTGAAAAAGGAGATATAGCTTTGTGCAAAATTGAGGATTTAGGATGTTGTCATGCTGTTTTCATTATCCTCTCATATTTAAAATGACAGAAGCCTTTAAGGTGCTTCAGATCTATGAATGTGTATCAGTATGTTTTTCTTCAGCATTTACTAAGTCTTCTGAGTTCTTATAAAGATCAGATGCACCGTGTGCAGGTGCAGCTAACTCTTTCCACCTCTCTTTATTCTGCCGAATGATGTCCACCAGGTTGTTTTTGAAGCTCTCCAGGTCCACTGCTGCAAGGGAGTAGTCTGGGGAATGGGACCCATCACTCAGGCAGCCTTTTATATTTGATCGTCTTAGCTCATCAGCAACATGTATCCCCACAATGGTGGTTAAGCTAACAATGACAACCAAAAAACCCAAAAAATACCAGTATCAGGATACAAGATAGGGGAGAAAAACCTGAGTAACTTTATAAAACTGACTGGAGAAGCAGGATAGCAGAAGCCCGGGCTCAGTGTTAATCACGTGCTTACCTCCTGTCTTTCCCTACCCGCAGGAAAAGAGGGCCGCATACTCCCTGGCACACTTCTTAGCATTCTTTGTAACTCGTAGAACTGGAATTATACTTTTTGTATAGTGCTACCTTTTTTGCTTAAGTGTTTTCTCATATTATTATATAATCTTTAAAATTGTTTTTTGTGCCTTTATGAAATTATTAATAGACTACATAATTTATTCAACCATTTTTATTGGACATTGTTATATCCTTTTTGTATTTTAAGAACTTTTATAATAACCTGAGGTGAATAACTTTGTGCTAAAACCTTATACAGGCCGGGCGCGGTGGCTCATGCCTGTAATCCTAGCTCTCTGGGAGGCCGAGGCGGGCGGATTGCTCGAGGTCAGGAGTTCCCGTCTCTACTATAAATAGAAAGAAATTAATTGGCCAACTAATATATACAAAAAATTAGCCGGGCATGGTGGCACATGCCTGTAGTCCCAGCTACTTGGGAGGCTGAGGCAGGAGGATCCCTTGAGCCCAGGAGTTTGAGGTTGCTGTGAGCTAGGCTGAACGCCACGGTACTCACTCTAGCCTGGGCAACAAAGCGAGACTCTGTCTCAAAAAAAAAAAAAAAAAAACCTTATACATATATTTGATTTTATCCTTTAGCAACAATTTCTAGAAATAGATTTCTGATCAAAGGGTAAGAATACTTTTTCAAGGTTTTTGCCCATATTACCAGAGTGCTTTGTAGAAGGTTACACCAGTTTGCACCACCTTGAGGAGTGAGTGTTCCTTTCTTATACTAAACACCACTAATAACAATTACTGAAAAACAGTTTAATTAGATAAAAAAAATAGTATCTCTCTGTGTTGATTTGAGCCTCTTAACTTTGATGTAGTCTCTGACTCTGTCGGTACAAGTATGACTATTATACCATTCCATAATTGCTTATTAGAAATATATATTGAGAGTTTATAGAAATAACGTTATTATTTAATACTACAAAAAAGTAAATACACTGATAACTTTTAAATTTTGGTATTTAGAGGATGTAAGAACCCAAGTACAGTGTCAGCTGTTTGGGACAAATGATAAAGAACATGGATTTTACTTATCTTGAAAAGTTTAAAACATAAGAGAAAGCTTAATAGGTCATTTATAAATCACAGTTAACATAGTAGACTGTAGAGGCTGTCTCTGAGTTTTTAATTATTTAGATCCAATCTAGGTTTAGATTTTTTAAAAGTATATAAACATTTCTAGTGACTCATTTTATTTTAATCCTTAGGGGAAATGTCTGCTTACATCATTGGGATTCTACTGGGAAGAGTCTGACTTACTATAGAATCTATTATTGTACTTTGTGCAGCTGTGACAAATAAGACAATAATTTTTCTTTTTATTGAACTAACAGCAGGTTGAACCACCCTTATCTGTCAAAATGTGTGTAAAAAATCAGCTTATGTGCAGTTCGGTTGTCAAGCTATATTCCAAGCTAAATTACAATGTAGGTAGGTGGGTAGATAGATTTATTTATATTTATATCTATATTTACATTTATATGCATGGAATATATGATAAGTCACTAATCACTGCCTTGAATGATTAAATGATATAGGAGGATAATGTATTTTTGTGAGGTATTTTGTAATTGCTTATTAATAATGAAAAAGAAAAAATACACTGTTTTGCCCTGTAATTATTGTTGTTGTTGTTTTAACTGTTTCAAATAGCAAGATGCCTTACATCATTATATTCTCTCTTGTTTGGGCATTGGTCAGCTTATTTATTTATTTGTTTTTTGAAAGGATTTTAGTATTGTGTTAGTGAGGTGAAACAATGATAGCTATCATTAACTATGGCAACATTGTGCCAAGCAGTATATGTTATTAACTCAGTTATGCCTTCCCTGTGACTCAGTGAGGTGATACCACATTTTATAGATGGGGAAACAGAGGCTCAGAGGGTAACCTGAGGTTAGAGACAGAGCTTGCATAGAAATCCAGGTCCATTTTAAATATAATCCTTTGTTGCCTCTTATTTTAATGTTGGTAGTCTATAGAACTTTTTCTGAGGCCAGTTGAAGAACTCAAAGATTTGGAAGTTCAGTTCATTCCATCAGTAGAATGCTTTCTTTGTGCAGCTGTGAAACAGAAACCAGCTCTTTGGGACGACTGGCCAACTCTTACTCAGTGAGCTGCTTGAGAAATTGTTTATACTTGATTTACTGTATGCAGTGAATTCTTTCTATTGTAGACAGTAGAAAAACAGATCATGCATTTGTGTTAACATTTCCAAATATGTGTTTAAAACAGATTTGGCAACTGATCGGAAGCTCTTTCGTCTGGTCTCCAATGACTCCTTCATCTCCATTCAGCCTTCCTTATCCTCTTGTGGACAGGACTTACCAAGGGACTTCAGTGACAAAGTGAGCCTGCCAAGTCATAGCCACCACCACCACGTTGATCAGTCTCTGTCCAGCGCCTGTGACACAGAAGTAGCTTCTCTTGTACCTTTACATTCACACTCTTATAGGAAAGATCACCGACCACGAGGTGTACCACGGACTTCTAGCTCTGCTGTGGCTTTTCCTGACACTTCACTGAATGATTTCCCTCTTTATCAGCAAAGACGTGGGTTAGATCCGGTTAGTGAGTTAGAATCTTCCAAACCTCATTCTGGATCCAAAGAATCCTTGGTGGAAAATTCTGGTTTATCTGGGGAATTTCGGCTTGCTGGTGACTTGAGAAAGAGTAATTCTCAGCCACCCACAAAAAGTGGGAAGAGCAAACCTCTGAAAGCAGACAAAAGCGTGGACAGCTTGAGGAGCCTGAGTACACGGAGTAGTGGTTCAACAGAGAGCTACTGCAGTGGGACAGACCGGGACACGAACAGTACTGTCAGCAGCTATAAAAGTGAGCAGACCAGCTCAACTCACATAGAGAGCATCTTGTCAGAGCACGAGGAGTCTCCTAAAGTAGGAACGAAGAGTGGCAGGAAAAAAGAGTGCTGTGCTGACCCAGAAGAGAAGAGTAGTTGTCCCAGTGACAAAAGGACTAGTAGTGAAAAGACTGCCATGGAAGTCAGTGCAAACAGTGAGGCTCCTGAGGCCAAGAACTCCAACACCCCCGAAGAGATGCACAGCCAGCGGAAGCTCAGCACCTCTGCCTCTGAAGAAGCCAATACAAATCCCCATGCAAACGAGGTTACTTCCCAGGGGGACAGACCACCTGCAAACACAGTGGAAAACAAAGAGGAGCAGAGTGATAAGTCAGCTGTTTCAGTGGATTCAAAAGTGTGTAAAGATGTTGGCGGAAAGCAAAAGGAAGGGGATGTCCGACCTAAATCCTCTAGTGTAATCCACCGGACAGCCTCTGCCCACAAGCCAGGCAGGAGACGGACAGGAAAAAAACGGGCCAGCAGTTTTGATTCTAGTCGGCATAGGGACTATGTTTCCTTTCGAGGCGTTTCTGGTACCAAACCACATAGTGCTATATTTTGTCGTGACGAGGACTCCAGTGATCAAAGTGACTTGAGTAGAGCATCAAGTGTTCAGTCTGCTCACCACTTCAGCAGTGACAGCTCTTCTAGCACCACTTCTCATTCCTGTCAGTCTCCTGAGGGCAGGTACAGTGCTCTCAAGAGCAAACATACTCATAAAGAAAGGGGAACTGACTCTGAACACACACACAAAGCTCATTTGGGTCCTGAAGGAACTGGCAAAAAGCGAGCAACACGTCGGACTTCCAGCACAAATAGTGCCAAGACTCGTGCCCGAGTGTTGAGCTTGGACAGTGGCACGGTAGCGTGTTTGAATGATACAAACAGGCTAATGGCACCTGAAAGTATAAAACCCTTAACCACTTCTAAATCAGATCTTGAGGCCAAAGAGGGAGAGGTGCTAGATGAGCTATCTTTATTGGGACGGGCTTCCCAGTTAGAGACAGTCACTCGATCTAGGAATAGCTTGCCAAGCCAGGTTGCATTTCCTGAAGGGGAGGAGCAAGATGCAGTCAGTGGAGGTAAGTAAACTATAAAAAGAGATTTCCCCAAGAGTCACTGCAATTTTTGGTACTGTTTATTAGAGTAGTACTTGTTAAAATAGGCCTTCTGTTAATATTCTGCCTTCTACTATGTTATTAAAGTAAACTCTCTTCAATGGAGAAGAACGTGGTTATCCTAGGAAAGTTTTGGTATGAACACCAAGAAGATTTTTTTTTATATTTTTGAGACGGAGTCTCACTCTGTTACCTGGGCTAGAGTGCCGTGGCGTCAGCCTAGCTCACAGCAACCTCAAACTCCTGGGCTCAAGTCATCCTCCTGCCACAGCCTCCTGAGTAGCTGGGATTACAGGCAACGGCCACTATGCCTGAAGAAAATATTTTTTCAGTTGTAATATTTGAATATATCAATTTGTTCTTGATGGCATTCACTTTTCTAAACCAGTTACCACCTGTTAATGTTTTGCCAGGAATAACAAAAATTATCCCTCTTATTTTGTATAACGATTGAACAACAAAATTTATAATTTTATTAGGATGTCAAACCATTTTTAGTCATCTCCTATATACTGTGTGCCACTGAACTTTCAGAATTAGATCACTCAAGCTGTTACATAAGACCTTTTCCAAATATTACTTTAGCTCTGATTAAGTACTTTGAAAATTATGTAGCTTCTTTTTGTCTGTTTCTTTGTTTTTATATCTTGCTAATTCAAGTTTCAGACATTAATAACATTTTATTTTTTTCTATAATTTCACACTTTATTATTAAAGTTTACTAAATAGAGGTTTGTCGTTTATATTGGCATTTTGTATCTATTCATTGATCCATGGTGTCCCCTCTGATAACGTGCTGGTGTTTTGGTTAAAGTAATAGCTTATTTATTTCAAGTTTATGGGAAATTGTGCTAAATTGGACGGGTGATTTTATATTCTGTCGGTGTGTGTTAGCCTCTTTGTTTATTTTGAAATTGTTTCTTGCTATTTCCTTCTGTCTAAAATAATTTGGTTCTGGTTATTATAGAATTTGGTTTTTGAATAGAATCAGAAGAATGAGGTCCTCTGTTTATCATCTTAGCTTTTTTAGCTTCTACACCCATTCCCTTTATTTACACTTGTATCTTTAGTTTTGAAGTTTATAGTCTGGCATAGTAATGTTCAGTCACTTATTAAAAGTTAAGCTGGATTTTCTTTTTTATCAGTCTACAGAACATTCTGGTTATAAGCTGGATTTTCTGTATGTATAAACATTCTGAAACATATGAATATGCTTTTTTCTCAAAGAATTTTAATTTCATCCAGAGTATTTTAAAAGCCCACATTGTGGTAAACACTCTCTTTGTTTTTGTTTTTGGTAAAGTTTCTAAGAAAGATTAATTTCTAATGGAAATGTAAAGAAATGATCTTTAGTACCTAAGGAAAAAAGTAGCCTATGAAACCTAAATATTGAGAACTAATTATATCCGAAGTGACTGTAATCATTTGGTGACAATACAGTAATTAAATTCCCTAGAGTCTTTGACCTGGAGATACCATTCTGTTTTGTATAAAAAATCAGAAATACTTTTAGTGATTTCTCAAATCATATCAGATATGTTCACAATGTGCAAGAAACCATTGGATTTTAAAATATAGCTTAATTTTTAAAGTTGTTTTCAAAATGAATTTTAAGAGTGAACATGTTATGATAGAAAATTATTGCTGTTCTAAATGTTGTTGAAACGTAAATACTGAAAAAAATGTACACAATATATAGTAAATCCTAATGTCTGTGTATTTAAAATGTCATTCCCTTTTCACAGGGAATGTGGGGTGTCCTGTTTTTAGAAACAGTCATATGCAAGGTGTTATTTACTACTCAGTGCAATTCTTTGACTAATATAAGCCCTCATTTTTTGAGGTTCCAGCTTTTTATTTTCTTTTGTTTGTATTCTTTATAACCCCATTAAATGTTAATAAGGAACAAATAATGAACTAAAAATTTCCATCTACTTTATTGGAAGAAATGTATTATAATAGTTTTGTGGGCTATTGAAAAATACCTTTTTGTTTAAGGGAAGGCATTGCAGGGGTTATTTCAATTTGGGTTTCGTTGGGTTTAGAATAACAATAAGAGAAAACTAAACTATTTAAATGTGTTAGAGATTTATACTTAGTTGGATTGTATTACAACTAAATATAGGGGTTTTGTTGGGGGGTTATTTGGGCTCTTTGGAAGGTTAGAGGCAGTGGGAGGGGATTTGTTTTTGGCTTTCATTTTTAAAACTTACAGAGAATCTCAAATACTTGTTAAAAATACTTGTTTTATTAGCATTGCTTGTTACAGTCCTGTCTGACAATTTAGGAGAGATGTTTTTGGCCTGTATAATATTCTTCCTTACATAATGTACTCCTGAAATGTGTTAACAAAACACATTACTGATTGACCATTCATATGCCTATACATAAACCATAAATAGATTTTATCCTTATGAATTTGAAGATGTTGATGAGTTCCCAGTGATTTCTTTTTTGTTTTGTTTTTAAAGTGGGTGGTGTTGGTAACACGGAGGGTGGAATTTAGAAAATGTACTTTAAAGTACTAAAATAAAATACTCTAAAATAGGAGCTAATCTAGTTTAGTGACATGGAGTCATGTGTTTTTGTTAGAGGGCTCCACTATAGTCGAGACTCTAGGAAAGCTGCTTCCCTTCTTGAAACCTCAACTTCCTCGTCTTAAAATGAGATGATACTAGTGTCTCTCTCATAGGGTTATTGTGAGGATTAAAGAAGTTAATATACATAAAATGCTTACAACAGTGTCTGGCACATAGTAAATACTTAATAATGCTGCTATTACTATCATCAAACAGGCCAGTTTGTTATGCTATGCAAATGTATCCTGTCCTTGTTTAACCTTATTCAATGGTATAAAATTCAAATAGAAGAAAATGATTAAATTGTGAAAGTGGACAATAGTGAAAATAAAAATAACATCTGAATTCCTTATTTCTTACATAATACCAACAAAAAAAAACCCCATTTTTTATTAACATCTAATCTAGTAACATGGATTTTAAACTTATTTTGGTAGTAATATGTCATATAACTTAGGTTTTGATATTGAGTCACATAGCAAATGATTATTTTCATCGGACCTAACACCATTAATCAAGTATTTTGGTAAACTAGGATTTCATCAATAATGGTCTGTGTTTACTTAGGAAAATGTTTTAAGTTCAAACTAAGGCATTTTCTATTGACCTCTTATTTTGTACCTTCTTTTTAAAAATAATTATAAGGAATATCTTTAGTAATTTATGACTAAGTAAGAATAAAAAAGTATATGCAAGTTATATATGATAGAAAAATGTCCTGTGTTTTCTAGCCTGTATTATTTTTAATAAAGTCCTTTTCTTTTTGGCCACTTAAGCTTATTTCCTGCATGATTCAATACCATTATTATGGCATATTTTCAATATCAGTTATCAAAGAGTAGTCAGAATGGAGAGATTTGTGTTTACTTATTATTCTTTGTACTTTTTTCTGTATTTCTTAACCTGTATTTCTCTGACAAAATTATTTGAAATATAATGTTTGGGTCACTATTCTCTAACCATGAAAAAGGATCCTATTATAATATTGTTAGGAACTAAAGATAATCTTTAAAGAAAAGTCAAGTCTTTTCAATAAACAATTTATGAGGGTTTGTGCTGTACATACAAATTGAAGGTCTATTATTGTATACCCAAATATCATTGAATGTTAGAAAGCAAAGAAAAAGACCAGTGGACAAGAAAATGTGAATTAAAGCTTTTGTACTTGAAAGGAACTCTAAAGTCTAATAAACTTAATTTTCTGATTTTCCAGTCTACATGGCAAGTTAGAAGAAGCAAATTAATAGAAGGGATGGGTACTTGTAGAGGCTGACATAATGACAGCAGAAGAAATACATAGCTAACCCTAAAGGAAGAGCTGTAATAATTATACAAACCAAAGCAAGAAATGTAACAGTATGCAGTTGTTAAATGCAGGGACAAACTATCTTTTTTATTTTAATAGGGTTCGAGGACATGATAATATCATAATTTACAACTGTATTATGGTATAATGCTGTAATAATTGTATATATGGCTGACTTTAATTCTTTAAAAGATTATATTTTGGCTATGCTATGAAGAAAGCTTAGATATATACAACTGCATAGAAAAATGCTCATTAAATACAGTAAAATATGCTTGGAAAAATTATCTTCCCTTACAAAATTATCAAGGAAAAAAAAGTATTTTATTGGTGAAACATATTTGCTGTTTATATATAGAATTATATATATTATATTTTATGTTGTAATTTATATAGAATTCCTCAAAACAGCCTGCGCCTGATTGTGTCAGGTGGAAAAAACATTGTAGAATTTTTCTATAGCCGAGAAGTTCTGGCTAAGGAATCCAACAGTTACATTTTGATACCACCTCTAATTACTGACTGAATATTCTGGCATTAAATCTGTGCCTTAGTTTCCTGAATTGTACAACAGGAATAAAAGCTGTCTAGGTCTGTCTCACAGTTAACTGTCAGACTCTAATGAGCTTAAAGCTAATGAGCTTGGAAGTGTGAAAATGCTTTATAAATTATAGATTTGTTATGTAAACTAAGACACTGATGTCTTTTAATTATTTGTAAGACATTTCCGTTTTTAAATATGTCACTTTAAATATATATATTCTTCACTAATGACCCCTTGTTAGGTGAATCTCCTGAAAATACATGCAAAATTATATCAGAGAGAGGGTTGATATTTTTCTTCCTGTTCACAAAGGATTAAAAAACATTAGTAACCACCTATGAAAGTAAGTAATTCTTAACGTATATCTTTTAGGAATTGTTTTTGTGAATTTTGACTCCAGAATATCATGTAATTTCTTAAAAACATCTCATATTTGGCTGCTGCATTTGTGGAAAATATCAGTAAGAATATGCAAATTCTCTTTAACTCAAAACACAACTAATAATTTTGTTGTTGTTTGCCATTATTTGTTGGCTTACTTGTCAAGAAGTAAAGTAGTCCTTTAAAATGTTTTCATAGATGAAATTATTTTAATTCAGAATTGATGCTTAGAAGTTGTGCAGTAGGTTCTCATTGTTCTTTGAGCCTCTCAGTAACTGATGCAAGCATTTGTTTTTTCATTAGAACAAAAATCTTTGCATGTTAATGTTAGAATTATTCTTGGCTGACACAGAAACTAAAAAAGAGAAAAGCTGTTTTAAAGTAGATTTCATGCCTAGACTAAAATAGTTCTTTTAGAATTTTTTTGCAAAATTATTGGATCATTTTTTACATAGTAATTTTAAGTAAAATAGTTTTTACCTTGGAGAATATTTGTGTATTTCAGAATGTTTACAGATGTCTTTCATTTTTGTGAGATGTATATATATTTATTTAGTTCATACTTTTGTTGGCCTTTCTTAAAAATTTAGTTTCCTAGTAGCATTTTTTTCTGATCTTTTTGAAGTATCAAACACATTTTATTTTCATGGTCTTCCCAGATTTACTCCTTTTTACAATAAACATTTCTCACCAAAAAGAACAGTTTTCTTGAGTAGTTTCCTGTGCCTAAATTTTTATCAGTTTATTTAATTGCAGTTGGTCTATTGTAAGAGGCCAAAAGCAGTACCTAACAACTAGAAAGTAACTTATTATAGATGAATCCTTTCACTTACCAGTCACCCATTTGATTGACAGTGATTTTGAAGTGGCATCTTAATCTGTTGTATTTACACTATTTTCTACTTTTTGAAATAGAATTTGGACAACCTTCACCTCGTACGTCACCAAATTGTGCTCTTTTATGCATTCCAGCCATTCTGGAAGTATATGAGTACCTTTAATACTTTCTCTGTTTTCATTCACAGAGTAAAACTAACTGAATCTGTTGTTAGTCTGATGCTCCTATATAAAAATAAGTAGTTGCACTACAATAAATCAGTATAGAATGCTTAGACTTTTCCTTAATTCAGAAGGTAATTCCTGAGGTGGGACATGTGTGTTGTGGTTGTTTACTGTCTTTGTGGTCTTCAGGAATAGACCAGACCACAGCAGTCTAAAATGTTTGAGGATGTTGGTGCATTGTCCATGAATTGTACTTAGGTGCGCAGTAAGTGCTTAAACTTAAATGAATGGTTGCATCACTATACCAAAAGTAAAAAGTTATATTATGTGAAAGTCCTTCTTAAACTTATTATGATTATAAATTTGGTCTTTTGAAGTCTTTTTTTTTTTTTAACACAAATGATAAACTTGAAATTTTGAAAAAAATACAAAAAACACATTAAAAACATACAACTCTATATTCTTGGAAGTATTCGATAACTATCTTGTCATTCATGGTTTCTGAGTTACTTGAATGTGTGCAATTTTTTCTCCTTTACCTATGCATGCATAAAATTTAATTGTACCTTGGGTACTAATTTTTCACTATTTGCACTTTGTACTCTTGCTATTGAAGTGGTTAATTTCGTTCTTCTTTCCCAGAAGATACTGCATTTTAAGCAACCAGTTTTAAAACTATTTTCTCTTTCCTCACCTGTTCCCTAGTTAAAATATTTTTTTCTTTCTCCTATAATAAGTGGTTCAAAAAATTTTATTACATTTGGATTGTGGAAGTGAATTTCCATCAAATGTGGCAATAGCTTATGTGACTGTATATGCTTATAGCAAATTATTTTAAGCTATAAAGACACTTTTTCCCCCATTAGCTCTAGTAGAATTGGACCCTCACTGGATCCTATTCCAAATAGAGATGTTCTGTATAAGTAGCACGTTCCCAGTGGGGCATGGCTTAATCTTACTTACTGTGGCCATAAATTATAGCATAGCATTTTCAATTGAATGTGTGATCCTAGCTACTGTTAAATCAATTGCCATGTAAACATTTTGAAAACTCTTTTAACCTTAGGTATTTATACCCTAGTACAAAGGATAACATAAGCAGTAATCATAACTCCACTTTAATACATTATTCAATGGATGCCTAAACTTTCATCTTGGTATGTTTCTAAGACTATTAAGAAAGTAAATAGTGTAATATGTAGCTATTTTGCAGATAACGAAGTGTAATTGTATATTATTAGCCAAAAAATTATTTTCTGAAGAGGCCAAAGAACATTTTGACTAAAAATGGGCACATTTCTCATGTAGGAGGAAGATAGTAAAGAAAACTATCTTCTATTTCTCTTCCTATTTTCAGTATTCAGTGATCATATACTGCTCTTTTCTACATCCTTCCAAATAATTTTAGTGCATTTTATGGACTAAATTAACTTCTATAAATTATGTCAGGGTAAATTTTACTCTGTTTTGGTTGAAACAGAAAATCCACAACTAGAGAGAATGTTTGAAAGTTTTTTAATGAAGTTGGATTGGCCTGTACATTCAGCACAATAGTATGCTATTAAATAATGGTTTAAAATAATAATATAATAGTTTATAAGAACTACAGAATGGAAATAGTATTTCACAAAATAAGTATTGAATTGAGTTTTTAAATAGTGACTTAAAATCCATAACCCGATTTAACCTTGCTGATATCTAAGAACTGTTAATAGGTATACCAGTTACTCATCTAATTTTTCATTTCTTTTCTCAACTGGCTTGTTTTCTTCTCTGTTTTGTTTCATTCTTCAGCCAATGACTGCCTTGCCCGAATAGTGTTTTCTCCTCTGTGACAATGATGGTTGCATTTTCATTTCATTGAGGTCGTGGTTGTCAGGAATTGGCAAAGTATGCAGTGTGCCTTGTAGATGTGGTAACAAAAAGGCAGCCTTTGACTTTTTAAATCAGCACTGTCCAATACAGCTTCTGTGATGATGGAAATGTTCTGTATCTGTAGTGTCCAATAATGGCAGCCACCTGCTTCATGTAACTAGTGAGCATTTCAAATATGGATTCAAGAATTCGAGGAACGGAATTTTATATTTTATTTAATTTTAAGTATAAATAACCACGTATGGCTAATGGCTACCATTATTGGACAGCACAGTTCTAGATGATCAGATTCAGTCAGCATCATTTGCTTTCTTAAGTCTTATATAAATTTTGTAAGCAGGAGCTTTTACCCCATAAGTAACAGTCTTTTCACATATAAAGGAACTTTCATGTTTAGAAAGAATGTTTCTGTACTAATTTTTTTGTCTTTATTCATATTTGCTGACAAAATACCCTTTCTCAAAATGATTCCCAGAATACTTAGGTCACACTAGGAAATGATTGTTTTATATTGAAATGGATGAAAATCTTTTATGTTTTGTTTTTAAAACCCAAATCAACCAATATGTATGATTTTTAAAAATCTATGTATTTCTACTAAGCCATTGTTGTGGTTTTCTCATTGTTGTATGCTTGCTTTTAGTTTGTACTTTATTGCTTCTAGATTAAGCTATGAGTTTATATACTTGTCATCTGCCATTTTGCTGATAATTTGCTTCCTGGTATTAAGAGGACCAGGGCCCAGGGCATCAAGTTGGATAAAATTTGATGGTAGTGAAGAACCCTACAGTTAAGATACATTCATGCTATGTTGAACATTTAACAACTGGTTATGCAACCTTGCAGTCAAAGGTTTCCTTTAATGCTGCCAAAGTTATGGGCCAGGGTATTGTGAGATAAATTTACTGCCTTACTCCTTGGCATCAACAATGAAGTACTCCTTTTGCTGCGTTTACTGTCCTCATGAGAGTAAGAAATTTGTGCCCCATTCCCATTAGTAGAAACTAACAAATACTATACTTTTAAGGCTGGCTTTATTAAAGGGGGAATAGAGGTATATGGGACAAAAATAAGTGAGACTTTCAGGAAAAAATTTAAAGCAACAGAGATCTTAAAAATAGGAAATTGAAGTTGAAGAGAAGATGGTGAGGCTAGATAATAGATCAAAACCATTATTTTTAAAGAAACAGTTATCTTTAAATAAATGACACATACCTTTGTGTATTACTTAATATGATGAGCCGATAGTGTACATGTGAAAACAAGTGGGAGTAATTAGACAAGTTTTCTTTACCCATGAGGGTGGGAAGTCAAGGGAAAGACAGGCGCAGCTGCTGTTTACATCTGACCTAGGCTCCTATTTGACCTAAGTCTGTCTTGATGCAGCAGCACAGGCCAGCGAGGAGGCGGTGTCATTTCGCCGTGAACGCAGCACATTTAGGCGCCAGGCAGTACGGCGCCGGCACAATGCAGGGAGTAACCCTACCCCTCCTACATTGCTCATCGGATCACCCCTAAGGTATGATATTTTGAAATTCCACCAAGTTTAGCATGCATGTGACAGATCTTCTAACCTATTCTATCAGTCCCAAGAAGGCATTTTGAAGAGCCTTTTCTTTTGCTGTTTGTCTCCTATGCATTTAAGCCTCTTTAGGTTTTCTCTGCATGTGACCATGGGCCTATGACATTATGCATGCCTTATGTTGCGCTATTTAAGCAAAATGATCAGATTGGTTTAGCCAATTTTAAATTGCAAAATCACTTTAGGACCGTTATAGAAATGTAAATAGTAGGCCTTAAATCAGCTTTTCTTTTTTTCCTACTCCAAATTAATAACATTAATGCAACATCTTTTTCTAGCATCTAGACAGTATTTAGGATGAACAAATACAAAACCAAATGGTGAGCTTGTTGAGGAATAACAGATAACTGACTTCTACTTGATAAGCCAGTTTGATTATTTTATCTCACTAAAATGATATATTTTATTTTATATTGCTTAAAACTTGGTGTGTTTTATTTTATAATAACCAGGACCTAGTAAATGACACAGAACTAAAATATTTAGTTTATGTAAAGTGTGGTCAATTGGATATGTATATTTGTATGTATATTTTTGTTGAACTTCTCAACTATTATAGTGTATTAAACAAAAATATTTTTATATTTTCCAATAATCCTAAGTAAGAAAGCATCCATTCATAACATTGGGGATAATTTTCAATTAAAATTCTAGTAACTTTTATTGCTAATTGTATCAAGTCTAATGAGCCCATGCCATGAATTAGAAATGTAACACTCTATTCAGAAGACTTGTACTTTAAGAATACAGATATAGACGCAAATACTTTACATGTGCTTCTTAAACAGTACATATATTATACCATATACTTTTATTGACTTCTATGTCCCAGAGCACATTATATAGATTACTTTCCTTCCACATTTTAATTTCAAATTCAAAAGGAAGAGCATTTGATAAAATAATTGTTAGTGAGTACATGGTAGGTTGGAAGATGTAAACCTCTTCCCTTGTTAAAACCTTGTTCTTGAAAGTAACAAAATCCTTCTTTCTTTAAAATATTACTTTATTTTATATTCCCCTGAGATTTAAGACTTATTTTCCTGGATTTTACTTTACAATCAGGGACTTCATCTTTCATAGGTCATGTACCTAATTAATCCCCAATAATATATAATTCTTTAAAAGTAATATGGATTAATCAAACCAATATTTAAACTATAAAAATGAGAGGACACCAATTTAAAAGAAGCATTTGGTTCTGGAAACGTTTTCTGAGCCCCTTTGCTTTTTGCGAGCCCTCCTCTTCTCTTTCCTTTTAACCTCTTGCCCTCTTCCGCCTCCACCTGAGGTAATTTTTCTTTCTGCTGGTGGATTTAGGGCAGAGTCCCAACATGCAGAAAGAGCTCAGCATTTTATTTTACTTTTTCTATTATATTTCTAACCTCTTTTTTTCCCTTTGAATAATACTTGCCATAGATGACAACTTTGCTTTCTTACTCATTTTATGTTGTTATTTCTTAAACTTTTTTTTTTCAAACCTTCTCTTTTTGGTTTTTAAAGATCCTTTCATTCTTTGCCACAAATGAGCCCAGTGGATCCCACTCACCAAAGAATTGTAGACAAATGAGTTTTCTTCTCTATCTGGTGGAATATTAAAGAGCTGTGTTCTAACTCCAAGCAATCACATAAAATTTTCCCGTGTTTTTCTAGGGTTTTAAATACATCACTGTTTAAATAAGGATATGGTGTAAAACCTATTTCTAAAGTACTCACGTTGGAATTTTTGGAAAGTAGTCTCCCAGTAGTCAGCATGTAGTTTTTGCTGATGTTCCAGTATTATTTCTAGTATAAAGGTTGCATATGTCTTAATTCAGTTGTCTTCATCCTGGGTGAAGTAAAATAAAATTTAGCTGTGATTAATTAGAGAGAAATACCAATTTATTAAAATCATTTTTTATAATTGTGAAAATATTCAGGTAAAGTATATTGGTATTATTTCTCCCTGTGAATTACTCTTGGTCTTAGCCAAAGGACCAAGAAGCGATTCTCAGTGCGAGTTACAGAATAATAATTTCCTCTTTAAATAAATGTAGGGTAGTATGATCATTTAAAGTTTAGAAAACTTGTTTGTCAAAAAAAAAATGGTATAGATGTGGCAATACTTTCATTACAATTACTGTATAAATACTAGTAAAATCTGCTAACTTATTTTAAACTTTAACGAATAGTTTAAAAAACAACTTGATAAAATATATGTCCCCAAGGATTAGGAGTGAATTATCAATTTCCTCACAAAGAGAAATTGTATGTATTTTATAATGCTTGTAAGAATATACTGTTTCAGAATTTTTTTTAAGTTTTTTTTTTTTTTTTAATTAGCCTATAGGTAGGTTTTATATACCCTTGCTAATTCTTCCCAGTTATTAGGGCTAAAAAAGACAAATATTTTAAAGTTATATGATACAGATATTAAGAGTTAGTTTTACATTTATCAACCTAAATGTGATATCTTTTTGAATTCTAGTTAATGGACTGTAATGGAAAGAAATCATCAGTGCATTCTGGGGAAGGGGAAAAAAAACTTTTGTGTATTCTTAGACTTATTTTTAAACATATAAGATGAGGGGGAAAATACATAAGATTGAAAGATCTCTAATGAAATACGATCATAGTGATAACTGAGAGTCCATGATTAGGAATTCATAGGGATCATTTTATGGTGCTCAGAAATGAATCCACCAGCTATTTGTTGTGTGTATAATATGTTTAAGACATTCTTGTGCATTTTCTCTGGAATCTGGAGATTCATAGGAATGATACACTTCTGGAGTTTACATTTTAGTTGGGGAGACCCATACAAAGATAGCTAGTCGTGTAAGGCAAAATGTATCAAGGACCAATTAAGTGGAATAGAGGAAGGAAAGATGAAGGCCACTTTTTTCTGTCATTTCAATTAGAAAATGTTAAATAGTAAGATTGCATGTTAGTGATAGCTGATAGTTATAGACCTAAATTTCTGCCTTTCCCTTTGGAGTGTTATAAAATAGTTGCTACCTCTTCTCAAACTGATAGTTATGACATTTAATTGAAAATGTAAAAAAAGATTAATTCATGCCAATTATTAGTTAAAGATGAAGTACAGCCCCCCAGGAAAATGTTTTCTAACAATTTATGCAAAAATGAAGGCTTTTTTGTTGTTAAAGGATTTGAAAATAGGAATTCAGGCACAGGAAGGGGAAAAAAGAATATAAATGTATTTATTACCACTGAGTTGTACACTTAAAATGGTAAAGATGGTAAATTGCATATGTATATTTTACCTTCATAAAATAATTTAAAATAAAAAGAAAATAGAAATTCAAGGAACATAAATATTTTATTACTAGTTTTTGATGTTCAAAAACTTGATATTTATAATTACATAGATTTTGGCTAATTTCTTTTATTTCTTTATTCTAGAATTGATTTTCCTGGATTGCCTAATATTTTTAAAACCTTTTTGTATACTTGGATATACATTGTGCATCTCTATGTTGAAGATTGGTGTATTCTCAAATATGTTCACATTAAAATACATGTGACTGCTGTATAGCTATTTTGCTTACGATTTTAAGTGAAAAAATTGATAGAAAAATTTGTTGAGTTACATATTCTATAAAATTCCACTGTCTTCTGAATCTGAATGGTCAAGGGACACAATACTTAAACTACTTAAACATTTTTTCCTCTCTGTTTTCTCCATGTGAAGTTTGTTTATTTTGGTAAGATTCATGGATAAGTTTAGATAGATTCTGAGGAAGAATAACAGATTAACTGTACGTGTGTGTATGGAAAGTAAAAACTTATCCCACAAATCATCTCTTCATTTATATCTATTGTACAAAGATTCTAGTCTGAAGAAATTATTAAATAAATACTTTCATAGTTAAGGGTCAAAAAAATAATGCCAGTAAGGATTGAAAAATCAGTATTTTCCAGACTTGGTTTTTTCATATGTTGTGCCCATTGTTATGCTCTGCTTGGAATGTGTACTTTTCATTGGCTCTAAAAGAAGCCTGAAAAAATGAATGCTCCAGGTAGTTCTGGTTAATAGAACTTTCTGGAATGATGGAAATATTCTATAATCTGCCCTGTCCAATATGGTAGATACTAACTACTGGCTGTTGCCCACTCTTTGGTAGCTAGTAGCTACCACAGTTGTGGTAGCTACTAGCTATGTTATGTGATTATTGAGCATTTGAAATGACTGAGGAGCTAAAATATTAATTAAGTAGTCACAGGCTACTATACTGGACAGTATAGTTCCAGAGTATATTCTATTGCCATAATCATAGGCTTAAGCAATGTATAAGTATTTTCTACTCCACCTTTCATTTCATGGTTACTCTGCAGCAGATGGGCTTGTTTTATATGTACCAGAGAAGGTATTACATTGAATTCAAAGGATTAGAGAGAACTTGGTACTTATGAAAAATGATAAAGTACCTGAATAAGGCCATCCTCAGTAGCATTCTTCTTTCATTCTAGATGTCTAATAAGTTTAATTACAGGCTCTGCGATTATTCAAAGTAAACTTAAATTGACAGAATGCAGAGTCGTAGTGAACATCATATAGAGAATGACATATAATCATTATACTCAAAATGATCTCATGAATTTTGTTAGTTTAAATTTGTCTAAATATTATACTAAGAACATTAAAATACAGTATCTTAAGTGTATGAAAATATAAAATGAATTAATAATAGTTTCTTAATTATTTAGAAAATTTAGATAATTTTATAAAAATTTTTGATAAGTAAATTCATAATAAAATACTAAGTATTTAAAATTTTTATCAAATTTAAAAAAGACTAATATCCTTTGAGAAATTCTTGGTTTCTAAATCATTTTTAAGATTTTCTACAATGATGGATCCTTTTTTTTTTCTCTGTGAGATGGGATCTGGCTATGTAGCTCAGGATGGTCTGGAATGCCTGGGCTCCAGTAGATCCTCCCACCTCAGCCTCCTGAGTCTCCCTGCAGTGATGGGATCCTTGTTAATGAGACTACAATATGGAAAAGAAAATAAAATTTGTTAAGGGAACATAATTTTTAACTAACACCTTGTACATGAAGCATGTGGCCTTATTTTGGAAATATGTAGACTTTTTAGAGATAACATTTTATGTTAATTAATTCTACTTCTGTCAACATCCCCTGCCATTTGTATTTAACTTGGTTGAGTCAGTTATTCTGGTTTTCTTATACTAGTTTGTGATTTTCTTTTGATTCAGAATTTGGTTGCATTTGGTAAGGATTCTTTGGTTTTCAAATGTATAGAAATTTTGTTTTATTGTGAATTAGAGATCCCAGAATAGTTGAACAATTCTAGAATTATTACAAGGCTATAAATAAAAATGCATATTTAACTGAAAAATATGGTTATCTATTGGGGACCAGCTACAACACACATAAATTGAATGTACTCTTGATTCTTTTTGGCCACTTTCTTTTTTCTTTATACTAAAATTTAGTTGGCTTGAAGAGGAAAAAAGTTGCAGATTAACCAGTTTACATATACATTAAATGTTTACTACATTCATCAGATTTGAATCAGATTTATAAAGATCAGAAGACTTAAGTCTATCAGTGTTATCTGTGTATTTTACAAAGTGTTGGCTCTTTCTTAGGTTACATTGAAAAAGTATCTTTTTGAAATCAGTTTTCTATATTGACTTCATTCTAGCTGTTGTTTTCTCTTTTCTTCCCTGTAATGTCTCCCTAATCCATGTTTTTTCCTAGCCTTCAAGATGGTCAGCAAGGCTCGCAGTCCACAGCCCAGGTCAAAGTCCAGTCCCGCCCCCCTTCCCAGGCTGCAGTGCTCAGTGCTAGTGCCTCCTTGCTGGTGAGAAATGGGAGTGTCCACTTAGAAGCATCACATGACAATGCATCTGCTGTAGGCGGTAGCAGTTTGCACGATGAACTTGGTATGCAGGCCTTATGTAATCTTGGTGATACAGAACTTAAATGCAGCAGATAACGGGTAACAATGATTGCAGTTTTTTCTTGAGATAGCTTCATTTTGGAACTATACATAGGAGCACTTTTTATATAGGATTTGCCCTTTGTGTAAGGAAAATTTGACTTTTGCTCTTTTCTATTTCTCTTTACTCTTATTTTGCATTTTCTCTGAGTACATCCATTATTAATAGGTACTTGAGTGTCCTCTTAAAATGATTTGGGCAATTCTGTTATCACAAGGCATTTGTACCATGTAGGCAAATGTTGATTTTTTAAAAAAATGATTTTGACTATACCTTAATTTCTTTGAATTCTTTGAATGTGCCATAAAAAAGGGAAAAATGCTTTTTAATTATTACTGAAGAATCAGGTATTCTATATTTCACAGTATGTCTATTACCTGTAGTAGGAGATATTATAATTAAAAATGCAATATTCTGAGGACATCTTGATTCCATATTAGTATCAAATAATAACTTTATAAAGTTTATTTCTTTTTCTTGTTAATACTTCTATAAATATACGTATACATTATTAAATAGTGTCAGGTATGGTATCACTTAAAACCTCAGTAATATCCACTCAAATGTCTGCCTTCTGCATTATTTAATTGTGATATTTTATACTACTTTGGTTCGTGTGTCTCTATATAGTCCAGCTTTCTTGTGCTCATAGTGCTGATTAATAATGATTTAAGTAAATATTAATGAAGAAGAAAATCTTGTTATTCAGAAATACTCACTTGAAAGCACTTAATCATTGTGACTTTATTATGTATGTTATACCTGCTTTTCACTTATAAAGGTGATAATGCAGTCGATGTTTTAACTGGACAGATATGAGGTATAAGGTGCCCAAATTAGGTTTAATAAAACTTTATATGCTATCTATTCATTGACTATTTTTCCATTTTGTAAAAGTCTTTAGTTATAGAGAAGTATTAATAATATGTATGCATATTGATGAAAATAATCTTTAGCAAATCTTATAGAAACTTGAAAATGATCATCTATGAATTTTTAATATTAAAATGTATGGTGATTTCTAAATAAAATGAGAAGGCAATAAAACATTTTAATTTTAAAATGCATTTGCGTTTGGAGAGGCAAGAAAATGTATAAGGAAACTTGCTTGAGAAAGAATAAGTAGACTCTAATTTAGCTACTTATTTTAGTTGCAAGTGATACCTCATTAATTGGAGATATATATATATATATATATAATTCTCTTCTGTAATAACTTTATATTGATATTTTTCTTTGGTTAGCCCAAAGTTCCTATGGACAAAGGATTTATGAACCTTTTAATATGAAATTACAATCATTATCTCGTTTTCCATTGGTTTTATGGTAGTGTAGGTCAGCTAAAATAAAAGACTTTGCTTTGATCCTTTTCAGATTTTTAGACTTTTATTGAATCAAGCATACAATGAAAGAGTAGATAATTTTCCTCTATAAAAATTCTTAGTTTGCTCAAAAAATTTGCTAAGTGATCTTTCATTATAAAGCCCCTTCCTAATGCTACATGCAGATTTTTGAAAATATTTATTTATGAACTTTGTCAGTTCTGAAAATAAAAGCTTCTTCTGACGGAAGGTGACTTTTAGCATCTGGTGATGGATACTCAGGATATTCTCTTGAAATTTTGATTTTATTTTTTGTGTTAACTGCTTTCTGGTAGCAAGTTCCTGACCTGTGGTAGCTGAATGCTGCCGTGTTGAATGCTTAGTAATGATTCGTACAAAATAAGCAGTCAGTGGAAAGTGTATGTCTGTTCCGTAGCCCATAAAGTTGGCCAGAAAAGATTCTGAACATGAACTGTAGCTGAACTTAAAGGAATTGGTAGAAAAGCTAGAATATTTTGTAGTTTAATTATTTATGTAATTTTAATTAGCAGTAGTAAGAAAATGTGTGCATTAATGTGTGTACTCCATACTCAAGTATGGTAAAGTTAGCCATAATATTCCCTAAAAGTATGGAATATTTACATAGGTTTGCTTCCTTCCAAATTTACCTTCTTCTATTAAAAAATTTTAACCAATTTTTACATGTGAAGTTATATCCATATGCATAAGACATTTTATATGAAACACATATATACATATATACACACTCAAATGTATACACACCCAGATTTATATATGCACTCAAGTATGTTTGTATACATACATATTTCTGTGCCTGTTTGGATTAAAGGAAACTCTCAACCATACATTGTTTAATTCCAAGCCTAGATAGTTTCCCTAGACTGTTTTCTACGTCTTTATTTTGTGGTATTCATAATAGATAACCACATCCATTTTTTATACTAAATCCTGAGAATTCTTATTTCTCTGTTGTGTTTAACTAACATTTTGGGGTTACCAGGTAATATTAGACATGATGGAAAAGCTCCCTAAAGGTAGTAGAATAAGGATTTTATTAGTAGTTTATTCAGCAGAGGAATAAGTATTTGCATTGTATATTCAGCAAGCATATTTTTAAATCATAATTAATTTTAGAAACAATTATAAGTGGTATAATTTAAAAGGAAAAACTTCGATAGTTTCTTATTTATAGCTTTCATTTCCATGCAAATCTATTTCTAAAAAGGTTCAAGTGACATAAAAATGATGGATGAGTTATGTTAACATCTTTGAAAAGGAAATTTCTATCAGAATTTCTTAAATCCTTCAATGTAATGTGTTGTTTTTTATTTTAAAGACCACACTTTAAAGGTTAATTTCCTTCCAATCAGTCTTATTGGACTTGTTATTTGCTGTTGATTTTATAATATTTTCTGTCTTAAACCATAATATTAAATAAAACAAGCTGTTGCTTAGTGCCTAGATTAAGTCACATAAGTGACTCTGAATACAAGTAGAACAAAAAGTTCTATTTTATATCTGCTAAATTTTTCTATAAAATTTGGCAATTACTTTGCAGTTTTTATGTTAATCCTACCTTCCTCTTACAAATTAAGACTAATAAAATGATACAATGATGAAACATGCCGTTATAGTTGATAGTTACACATTAAAATAGTTGACAGTTACACTCTTAATGTGTAACATAGCATCTCAAAGGAAATGTTGCAGATAAGATCAGATAGAGCAGGAAAATGTGCCTCTGTTTTTTTCTGCGTATGAAATTAGTGGTGGTCAATGGTGAGGGTAAGTTTTGAAAAAGTATATGTAAAATTATTATTAATATTTTATCTTTATGTGAAAAATTAAGAAGTTACTGATATTATAATACAAGAAATGAGGACAAGGGAGTTTATATCTCTCAAGACATAACTATAACTATGTAAATATCATGGGTAGTATTTCTCTAAGACTGTCTTAATTTGATTAATACATTACAGGTTTAAAAAGTGATGCTTAAATTGATTCTTCTAAGATTTTCTTTTGTTTCGTTACTGTACAAGGATTGACAAAGGAATTATTTTTGAGATAATATGCTTTATTGCAGAGCTTATTAACCTGAAAATGTAGTCAGCTCTAGGAGAAGACTTGAAGGAAACCTGACAACACTCTATTGCTCTTCTTATTAAGCAGTTTATAGCAGTTATGCATTATTAAGCAGAAATATAATTGGGGGGCTTTAAAATTTGTACTTTAAAACACAGAGACTCAGTGATTTATATACTTTTAGTGATTTTTATTAAAGTTAGTCTTGATGTTTATAAAAGATTATATATATTACTCTGTGGCACTTGGGGCTATAAGTACTTTTCCTTGTTACTGTAATTACAGAGTCAGAGGACTGTAAAGGGACCTTGAATTTATACTTCAGTTCTCTATGTCATGATAGATTATTTTGATTCATCTTAACAAGAAAGGTTATATTCATTTTGTAACAACCTTTATCTTGTCCTTTATTGTTTTTGAGTACAAAAAACACTAAATTTTATATTTTGATCCTTTTTTTGGGGGGATGAGGGGCAATGAAGTGTATGTAAATGTAAGTAAAATGTTTATTGAAATGAAAATGCTTCATTAAATCGAGAAAGAGGAAGTGTTATAAAAGGTTAGGAAGATATATTCTACTTACACTTCCTTTTGATAAATTAGAATGTGCTTTTCCCATCCTTTTAACAGAAATACAAGTTTATAAATATTGGAAATACAATGAAGAAAGTTAAGTCATCTGTAATCTCATCACTTGTTCACTATTATTAGAATATTTTATAATTTACTCCTTCCAGTCTTTTTCAATGTACACATGTATATATACTTTTCTAAAATAGAATTAGACGTATATTGTGTGACCTTTGTGCTATGTATGAGTTTTGTATCTTGCTTTTTTTCAGTTAGCATGTCTGAACATTTACCCATGTTATTAACTGTTGTTTAACTTGTTTTTAATTAGCTGCATAATATTTTGTCACTGAGATCTACATGAAAAGCAGTACAGCATAGTGGACTCTTGAGCCAGACTAGCCAGACTTCCTGGCTCTACTAGTTACCATGCTCTACCACTTACTATGTAATCTTGGACAAGTTATTTTCTCTCCTCATGCCTCAGTTTCTTTATTTATCAAAGGGGGACAATAATAATACCTATACCATAGGTTTATTGTGAAGGTTTTATCTATTAAGTATGGAAAGCAGTTAGAACAGTATTTAGCAATAGTAAGTTTATTATGTAAATAATCATTGGGATCATTATTATTATTGATAAAATATTATATTATGATTTATTTAACCTGTTAACTAACCCTGTTGTTAGTCTTCAAGTTGTTTCCTGGTGTTTCCTATTGTAGTAAACACTGTGTGGAACATCCTTTATGGATGCTTTTGTGTACAGCTGTGATTATTAACTTAGGATAAATATGTTGAAGTGGAATTATCAGTCAAGGGGATTATACATTATTGGGGCTTTGATGTATACTGTTAATTGCTTAATGAAAACTCAGAGCAGTTTATACTTTATCTGATAGGGTTTGGGAGTGTCTATTTTATACCCACAAATAGTAATAGTTA